TGGATCTTACCTCCAGGATAAGGTGGCATTCCTCCAGCCTGGGGAGCTCCAGGGAAGCCCCCTGAAGTGGGGTAGCCCCCCGGGGCAGGATACCCTGCTGCCCCTGGAAACCCAGCATTCGGTGGTGCTGCAGGATAGGTCCCTCCTCCTGCTGCAGGGAATCCTCCAGGAACAGCAGGATAAGCATACTGACCAGCTGGTGGATAGACAGACTCCTGTCCTGTTGGCTGGAATATAAAAATGGGATGTCTGTATGCCTGTTAACAGCACATTAGAGTAAAAACTCCCAAGCTGCCAAAATGTCCATGTGTATAACAACAACATGAATGATACATTTAGCTGTAGGGCTTGAAGCAGAATTCTTGAAGCCTGGATGGGGTCCTCCTGGTTGGGTGTTCTGATGCATCTCCTGTGTTGACATGGAATCAGAGAGTGCTCCAGGGTGGAAGTCACCTCTCTATGGCCTATGATCCCATCCACCCTCAGAGCAGGGCCAGCTTTGGAGTTGGGTGAGCTCTTGCAAGGCCTGATATTCAAGTTTTCAGTATATACAAGGAATGACAAATTCACAGCCTCTCTCGGCCCCTGTTCCAGGGTTTGACCACTCTCCTAGAGAAAAATGTTCTCCTCAAACCATTGCAATTGCAACTTGTATTTGCTAGCTGCCCTTTCACTGAGTCTTTATTGCTACTTCTCACTCAGCAGAAAACTGAACAGATCTGTGCTTTGCCTGCTCTTCTCCAGGCAAGCAGCCTTCCCTATACATGCTCCTCTTTGTCTATGTCTTTGTTGCACTGGGAGGCCACAACCAGACACAGAATTGCAGAGGTGCTCTTGCTAAAGCCTGGTATGTCATTAGCCTTCCTCCCTGAGGACTCGCAGTGCTGAGCCACATTTGACTTGGCAGCCACTGGGACTCCTGGTCCTTTACTGGAAAGCTGCTCTTTCTATTCCACACAGGGAGGAGGTGAGCTCAGCTCAGCTTGCTCTCTATGAAGAATTAGGAGCTCACCCCCTGTTAAAAGACATTTAAGAGCATAGTGGCTTTGAAACTTCTGCCTCTCTTGCACAAACATTTTTAAATGTTACGGGATAAGAAGTTTTAGGGTTTTTTTTCCATTTCCTTTGGAATCCAGGTTATAAAGCATGGATATTCAATGACTAAATGTGGATCACTGAGTCAGACTGAGCACATATTACGGGTTTTAAATAAAAAGAACAAGTCCAACGGCTAAATATTTGTTTTGCTACATGTATGATTTACCAGCCATACCACAAAGATTGCTATTAGCATTAAGATACATTAGAAATATTGAATGATCTGGATCTCTAAGGGAAAGCCCTGTAAGGTGAAAATCATTATAACATGAGCTTAGAAATCAGGATTCAAAATCAGCTTCATAATGAAGCATAATGGATGGACCCATTACTCACTTGCTGAGAATCACCTTTACTGACTAGCTTTAGAAATACAAGTCACACATTACGTATCGTACACATTCATTCTTGACTCCAGAAAACAGGAATAAAGTGCAGAGCAGAAAAGCCTAGCTCAAATGTTCTTGGGTTTGACTGCCCCCAGATTTCTACCCCCAAATTACTATGCCCAGGCTATATAATATTCTTTTCCCCAGAGGTACAGTCTAACATTTCTCTGCCTGACTCAACAAAAAGACTTTACTGGAATTTAGATTCAATAATCCAAATTTAGGATGTAAAGCCCTGCTCAGATTACTACCAGTGCTGCAGAAAACAACAATTTCACATGTGCTTTTTAAATTGGTTATCACATTGGGCATCATCAATGAGACTAGGAATGAGACTTGATAACAAGTCTAAAAGGTATTTTAAATTAATTCATTGAAGCTATTTTTTAGATCCTAGCTAAGAAAAAAATATTTTTTCAGATGTAGTTGAAAATGAACTACAGCTAAAATCATGAGGGTTCAGCAGAACCTTAAGGGAAGAAAAGAAATTCTAGAGTTAATCATCTTGTTTCTAACATGTTTGTCTTTCATTTGACTGACTTTAATCTTTTAGACGAAGTAAGGGTAGGGTGTAAAGCAAAATCATCAGAGAATTTATTGCATGTACTTATATGTGTTTATTTATATTTTGCCATATTTGTATCTTTTCAGTATCTTAAAGGCTTTTGGGCTGAGATCCGTGCCTAAGTCTGCTTCTGTACTGCATAGAACACCAGTAAAACTCCCACAATTACAGCATGACAAGTACCATGAAAGTGCTGTGAGTGCCATGATCAGTGCCATAAAAACACAGAGATCAATCTAGCTTTGGAAAATATTGCAGGCATATCAAAAAGACTGCAGTATCAGCCATACCTGATACATTTCAGCCTTCCATTAAGTTTCCTTCAAATTTTTAGTCCATTCAATTGTGACATGAAGGTGGAACAGTCCTGTGGATAGGGTAGTCAAGACACAGTGTCCTCTATCCTCAGAAAAATAATTACTTGATGTTATATGAAAGCTGGGCTACTTGAGTGAAGTGTTCCAAGTTCTTCCTGATGGCTGTGACCACTGAAGCTTTTTTAACATCTCTGTAAATCCTGGGATATGGCTATGTGAGTATTTTGTACAGATTGGTTCAGAGATTGCTTCTAACCCTACATGTAAAAGGCCTTCTGTTTACAGAAGAAACTTTTAAAATAAAAAAAAAAAAGAGAGAATTGTTGAGATGAGACAGCTGTATTTAAAAAAACAGGCTCACAAGATAAAATAAAACAAAACCAATGACCTTTCTGGAACAATGGGCATCACTAAAAAAACTAAATGTCTTTTTTGGAATTCTTGTGTGACAGCTGTAGTCATCCCCAGAGATATACAGAGGAAAACAAAGACCATAATCACTAGAGAACAGGGTACATGAACTGACTACTACTATTCACTACTAGCTACTACTTACAGACACATGGAGCACAGTCAGAAGGGATATTCACAGAATAGAAATGCATTAGGAATGCAACACATCCAAGTGCCATACTTACAGGATAACCTGGGAAAGCAGGGTAGCCATCAGAAGGGGGATAACCTGGGTATGACATTCTGGGGAAGAAAAAATAAAAAAGGTATTTTCATTGTGAAGCACTACCTCTGAGTTTGTAGTAGGTATTTGCTTACTAATTATCTATTACTTGAATAATCTGCAATTTATCCACAGAAGTTTTCCTCTTTTTCTCTCCTACATCTGACCATAGCAATCAGAATTCAGAAGGGAAGCATTTTCAACTTATAGTAATTATAGTCAATTTACTATCACCCTTATTTAAAGTCAGAGAGACATTTACGCATAGTAAGAAGCTCAAACTTCCAGAAAGCTTTGAAATACAAGATATACTCTGAGGTGCCAGCAGGAGGGAGTTTGGACCCTTTGGCAGGACAGAAACCATGCAGGTTTCTGGACTGCAACCAAGCACCTGTATGTGTCATCCTGCACTGCTCTGCTCACAGGGGTAGTTCCTGGGAGAAGAGCAGTACCCGAGCTATCCCATGTAATATGGCAATTGGAGAAGAACAGGTCCCTGTTCTTGAACATCCCTCAGCATAACTTCATTTGTGGAGGAAATTTCTATTTCCTGACAGTGACTGTTTCTTTTAAGTCACATTTTTAACAGAGCATCTTGGGGAGTGGGGAGAGAGATCACGCCATCCTGCATGTTGCAGGGAGATTCGACACCATTAGCCAGGTTATGAAACTTTTAACGACAGGGGGAAGAAAAATGGACTTTAAATTTGGCACAAGCATCCTCAAGTTGAACAGTGGCTCGACGTAACTAATTTTAGAACGAAAACAACAACAGATTTTTTTTTTTTTTTTCCGTCAGACTCTCGTTTCCCCCCGCTGTCCTGGATGGGCGCGGGGCGGGTTAAAGCGGGGGCCGAGTTGAGTCAGCTGCGGCACCGGCCCGCGGTGAAACATCAGCGGCGCGCTCCGTGCCTTGGGCGGCAGCGCAGCCGCTGAGCACGGAGACGCTTCCCCGGCGCTCCGCCGGCAGCACGGGCCCGCTCCCGCCGCCTTGAAGGGCCCCGCCTGGCGCTGCCCCGCTCCGCTCCGGGCAGTCACGCATCGCCCCAGGCTCCTCCCGCTCCCTCAGCCGCGGCCCGGCACGGCGAATCCTTCGGCGAGCTGCGGACGGAGGCAAGTACCCCGGTGTCCCGGTACCTGCCTCTCCCGAGGCCACCGGACCGCGTCCCCGCTCCACAGCGCCAGGGCAGCCCCCGCCGGGAGTGCGGCTCCCTGGGACAGGCGGCACCTCCCTCGGCCGGACACCTGCCGAGCCCCGAGCGGCCGCGGCTCCGGGAGCGCCGCCCGGGGCTGGGGCCGGGGCCGGGGCGAGCCCCCGGGCGGTGCGAGAGCAGAGCCGGAGCCGCGGCCGAGCCCCCGGGCGACGTGCCGGCAGAGCCGGGGCCGGGGCCGAGGCCCCGGGCGGGGCCGGGCCGGGCCGGGCGCTGGGGCGAGGGGCACGCGAGCGGCGGGCGGCCGTTCCTCCCTCCCCCCAGTCACCTCACCTGAGGGAACCTGCGGAGCCTCCGGCCTCTCTCCGCAGCCACACCGCAAAATGGAGCCCGTGCGGCCGGCGATGCCCGCCCCGCCCCCGGCACCGAGCCCGCCCCGCCCGGCCCGCGGCGGGGGCACCGCACCCGGTGCCGATGGTGAGGGCCCTGTCAGCGCAGAACCCTTTGCTGCCCGTGCAGGCTCGCCTCGGCTCGCTCAAGGAAAGCTGCGAGGTGCCCGAGGTGCTGTCTCGGGACGGACGGGAGGTAAGGTCGCAGCACAAGTGCCACAATCGCAGAGCCACTGGCCAGTGGAGCTGTGACAGGGGAAGCGGGCGCGCAGGAAGCGCCCGGAGATGCTGTCCCGCGGGAGTCCTGTGCCACCCGCTAGGAAAGGGAGAGAAAAGTCCACATTGCAGTTTCCCCGTAGCACCACTGCAATGAATTCAGCCCTAATGCGCGTAGGTTTAAGTCAAGTCTGTAATTCAGTAACACATGCGTCTTTAAATCAAGATCATTGTTTAGTAGCTGCAGGGAGTCCATCAAGTCACCACCGGAACTGCATGCAACAGGCAGAGAATATAAAAAGAACTAATTGCATGCAGCTGGAGGAGCTGCTCCTTTTGCTGTAGTTGCTGAAGACCAGGATCTAAGTCCCAAGAGGACATAAAGGTAGGATTGACTGACTACTACATACATTTTTTCTAGAAAGAAATCTTAATTATAGTTATTTGTATGTAATTATGGGGAGTGCCCTTACTGTTTTGTTTCTGTCTTTTGTAATGTTTATTAATATTATACTTTGAATAGTCATTGCACAGATGTGGTCCTTTCTTTACCTGATGGTTAATTATTCATAAGGCATTCTGACAAACAAGACTTTTATTTATGAAGGACTCACCTATGATATTATGCACCAGTTACTTTAGGTTATTAAAAACATTTCCTTTTTTGTTTATGACAGACATGTTAGCAGTTTGGAGACCATTCCAATGCAAACAGCTTTGGTTCTTTTCTGTAACCTGGTGCAGCACTTCAGTTCTAGATGAAATAACAACCACTGTTCTCTTTACCCATAGAACAGTGTGAAGTGCAGACAGCAGAAAATAGATGGGTAATAATTTACCATGCTTGCTTGCTTCAAATGAAGAGCACCTAAAGCCACATGAATCTAATACATTACCTATCCAGGAAAATTGGGCTTGTTCTCTCTTGTCTACCCAGAACACATCAGGAGTGGCTTTAAGAATTTAATCCTCACAGCATTCTTCAGCTGACACTCCGAGTGCATGTCTTCTTTCTTTTACCTGTTAAGCACATTTCTTTCAGGACAGGTAAATATTTTAATCCTTGTTTCCATGGGAACCAAGTACATTTATGAAATATACAATTCTTTTTCATTTAGTGGACTGTTTTGACTTAAGCTACTCAAGAAAAGAAAAAATGTTTTAAAACAAATTCCTTTCTTTTTGTGTAAAAGGAAGAAGAGACTATTTTAAACAAAATTACATGTGTTTGAAGAATCTGTTAAATGCATTGAATGTTTATGTATCAACGAGAATGTTTGGAATTACTTCGTTAAATCATGCAATGGAACCATTGGGTGTCATCTAATTTCACTCTCTGTATTTAGGGAAATCTCTTGGCTTGCTACTTATACCTAGAATCCACACATTTAGGAAAGCTCCTAAAACCCCATGCAGAGTTAAGGCAGCTTTTCACGATTAGAAAATTCAAGTTTAGTGGAGAGACAAACTTTGTTCTTCTCTTTTGTAATATTCTTGCATCTGATCCTAGACATGGTACTGGACAGAATTCTGGTCTGGAGTGACTTGGCTCAACTATGCATTTGTGCTGAGTGCTGTCAAAATAGCTGAAATACAACTTTTTTCTCAGAGGAATTTATTGTTAGTGATGTAGGCAGCTAAAGAATTGCTGCTTCTCTGTGTGTCCTGGTTGGACCATTATTTCCTACTTAAGTAATATAAAGCATGACTCCAGCCAATCTAATTAAATTAAAAACTAAGGTTTTTCCCAAGTTTGTTGTAAGAACTGGTCAGCTTTGAACCATAGGTCAAAGTGTAACAAACCTACAGGCTACTGCAGTGGCCCAAGTCTACATTGTGTACTAAAACCACTTCTCCTGTTAGACTGCCTTGTGACTGCAGTTATTAAAATGCAGTCGCAGTAAGCTGTTAACCTTCCGTGTGCGGGGAGCGGAGCGAGCGCAGCTCCCGGAGGAGGCAGGAGGAGCCTGTGCTTGGTTAGCTGGCGAGGCAGTCACTGCCCGCTGAGTCATGTAGTGCTCCACCCGCCCTGCTCCGAGCATCAGGGCTTCACACCGCCCTTCGAGAGCTGCCAACCAGCCTCTGCTTCCCCAGTGAGGAAACCGAAGCTTCACCCTTCCTCAAAGCACAGGAAAACAGCAGCTTATGCTGCTTAACTGTTCTAGAAGGGCTGTGTGTCTAACGTTTTCACATCAATTTTAATCATTTGGATTGAACCCGTGAATTTCAGGTACAGGTGGTGTACGTCCACAGGTTCACAAAACCACACACTGAAACACTACCTCCTCTTAGCAGTAGGTTTAAGTTTTCTGCCAATAAATTGAAGTGACTCAACTAAAAACACAAATTTAGTGACCTTCATCCCAGTACATGGAAATAATCACCAAGTGAAGTTGCTATTCTGTGGTTGCTATGTCAAAACTTTCTTCAAAAAACACCGTGATCTGAAAAATTTGAACCATTAAATGGCTGAATTTAAGAATATTAAGTTTAAAGAAGAGAAAGGAAATCAAAACATTTTTATTGAGACTATTAAAAAAACAGAGTTGAATTCTAATTTTATTTAATGCTCAAAAATAACATTTTCAAGGAGATGAGTATCTTTTCTGGACCTTCAGTTTTCACTTACATTGACCTTGCAATTAGAATTTAGCATTCAGTCGCTGGGGGAACTTTCTAGATTGGAACAACCACTACAGGATCTGTAGATTTGTAATCTGAGTCTTCTTCTTGGGTTTAGCTGGGAAATTACCAGTTTTGGAGAACACTCTTTGGATACTTCAAATTCATTCACCAAACTAGATACAGTCCTTAGTAAGGAGGGAAGAGTTTTATTGTAGAAGAGGGATGGTTTAACTCTGTTAAAGCAGAGTCCCTCCTCAGCACAGCTGAACTGTAAGCCTTCTAAAAGTAATGCTATTGGCAGAGACTGTGCAAAGTTACAGCTGATATTTGTATTTGCTTTCTTCCAGCTGGTACTTAGTTAACATGAAACATACCTTGGGGAGAAAATGAGGTTTCTTTACACATAATTTTGGCAGCAGTACAGCATTATGAAATAGAAAACTCCTGTTTGGCAACACCCAACTTTTAACCTCAAATCTAATGGATTGTCATTTTGCTGTCCTTTTCTTCTTTGGCAAAGATGGAAACTCCGGTAGCCAAGCTTGTTTAGTCACAAATGCTTTTCAAACTCTTTTACCATGAACTCAGTTGCTGGCTTTAATTCTCTAACTTCCTCTTTATGAGGGGCTAATGCTATTGACCTTTACTTCCTTTCCCAAACAATCAGAATTATATGCATAGAAGTGATACCATAAATTGAATTTACTGTTTCGTAGCCTGATGAAGGGATATACACAGCACCACTAATACATCAGAGACTATTCTACAGTCCTTCATGGTAAAGCATATTATATGCAAAACAAATCCCTACACTTTCAGTGTGCTTTAGCAGTTGGAAAAAAAGCCTGCAAAGAACTGGACTTCACTCCCATCCATGCTTTCTTTCCTGATGCCTCTTACCACCACCCCCCGCCCCCCTTTCAGAAAGGGATTCATTACACAATAAATGAGAAAGTGTTTTTTTTCTGGACAGAAGCCATTGTTGCCACTGCAATGGAACTTTTATTCCAAATACATTCTTACAATAAAGCTGTATTTTGTTATACAAGTAGACAAACCCACAAGATGTTAAGATTCTCATATTCCATTTTAAAATAGCAGGTTCAACTGAACTGCAGTTGTCCCCATTCATTTCCTAAAACATGTTAGGGATTTTTCAGAGCAGTGGAAATAACAATGTAAACCAAGTCATGTAGGTAATTAAATTACAGTCCAAGGAAATTTCTAACACCACAGAAAAGTGTATCTGCTCATTCTTCAGGTTCCTTTAAGTGTAGGGTGGCAAAAGTTTCTTTATAAACTAAGAAGTTTTTCATTGAGAGCAATCTGTGACTGTGTGAGATTTGCCAAGTAGGTTACCATCAGTAGGTCCTGAAAGGGAGGGGAAAAAACAGTGATCAGAAATATTAACAAATCATAGCTTATTAGATAGCTGAATTTTTAACATCTGTAAAACATTTTACAATCAGCTACAAGAAATAGTTAGCCCTGAAAGTCCTACCTTGAGGAATGCTTCCCTTGCAGGAAGCTTTTGGTATTCCTGGCATATGAAACACTGCTTGTGAAATTTTAACTCTGAGTTCACCCATGTTAACCAGAGAAGTCAAAGGGTATGAGCAAAATTAAAAATTAGTTCTGGTATTACAGACTGTAGGTGAACAACACATTCAGAAACTTAATTTTTCTAAAAATCTGTTAAGAGAAATCAGGTAGCATGCTAAAACCTTGTTCACGTTTGTAAGTGTTATGCAAAGAGACAGAACTCCAGCTCAGGCAAAAGAATCTGGCAAATCAGCAGTTATTGCTGAAATAAAAATTATTTAAGTTTGGTAATTCCTACTGTCCAATCAATATGAAAGAAGAATTGGTACTGGTTTTCAGATTATTTGCAAAATTCCTAAGTCCTTAAAAATGAATGCTTTTATCTGCAGTTGCTTGCAAGATTATGCTGAGCTTCTTTATCCATTCTCAGCCCTTAAAACACCAAATTACTGGCAATAAAAAAGCTGTATTAGCTATTAGCATATTGGTTTGAAAACATAGATCGTAGACAAATTTATGTCCGTATGACAAATTTTCAAAATTGCTAGCAAGGCACAGAAAAAATTGATTAAGATCTTACATTAATATTGCTGTTCAACATGGTCTCAAAGTCCTCTGGTGAAATCTTTGGCACCTGGTTAATAAGATCCATCAGGAAGCGCCCGACAGTGTTGTCAGCAGCCACTTTGCCAGACTAAGCATAAGAAACACACACTTCAGCATAAGTGGAATTCAAAGTTTATGGCCCAGAAAGAGAAATAATAAAAGAGAAAACCAAGATGCACAAGTCTAACATCGAACTTTTTTCTGGCTGATAGAAAGGTGGCCTTACCAGCACATCCTCAGCATACTGCAGCACCATGGTCAGGGTGTCCTGGATCCTGGCTGATGCTGACCCCACCTGCTGCAAGTCACTGGACAAGCCAATCACACGATTGGGGCTAAAGCAGGTCTTCATGATAAGATCCACTGAAAGCAAAAGGAGGATCAGTGAAAAAACACTGACTGCCACAGATACCAGTTTAAACCCTTAACTTCTTGAAGATTTTTTTTAGGTCAGCTTCAACAAGACATTCTGATTACCAGTAAAATTCCCAGAATGGCAGTTTTACCAGGGTAAAAGAAGCATTTGAACATTGTCACAACAATGGTTATAACCAAAACAGGAAGAAAGCATTCACCTCCTATCCGCTCTGTATCATAATAAACATATTTCACTGTTAGGGGTGTGAACATCACGCCCATAGTTTTACCAGGGACTCCCATTGGGGCACTAGAAAAAAAAAAAAAAGAGAACAACACAACATTTTCAGCATGGACATATATAAGGGAGGAAGGAAGAGATTTCCATCTCAAACATCTCTGTTAGCACTAAAGCAGGAACATAAGTACGTTACTCATTCTCACCAAAATCAGCAATTTTAAGACCCAAGGATAACTGAGGACAGGAAACCAGTTCTGGCATGCTATTAATTGCTCTTTTTCATCCAAGAACACTCCTAACTGGTTTGACGTCAGCATAAATGCATGAAAAACTATAATCTTAACCAAATTTCCTTCTTGCTCTTCTATCCTGAAATACTTTGTGCTTTAAGAAATGACTGAAACAACAAGCAATATCACAAAATCCAAGTACAAAGCACTCTCAACGCTTTTATTATACCTAGTATTCAAAGTACTTGAAGTCCATTTACACTTTAAGTAAGATATCATGGAACACTTCTTGTTTTAAAGATGTACAGTCAAGAAGCAATACTTTCTCTACAAAGAAAAGGGGTTTTTCCTTATAGAGGAGAGCTCTGCAGCCAATACTGGAGGAATTCAGTGAAATGGAAGAGTTTAATTTCTCAATATTTAATCTCGGTTGTTAACTGATAAGAATGATGGTGTTAAGGGGAAGAAAGACCCATCAAGAAGATGCTGTTTGAATTGTGTTAACCACACTAATCCTCTGACTTGTATAAGTGCACTGCTGAGCAATAAAGCCCTATGGCTACAGGCTAGCATTCAGTCAGTGTGATGAAGTTAGTGACATCACAGCCAGCTGTGAGAACCCTGTGACATGTCCCAAAGATATTCTGAAAATTGTTAATTAAGTCACAATTCCCCACCCCAGTGAGGTTCCAGTTAATGAAGTTT